TTTAACTACAAACATATAATATACCTATGTGTTACATTATAATATATTTTTTTATTTTTTTATGTATCGTCGGCCGTTGTCGTTTTCTCTGTCACATTGTATCATGTCTAACCATTATAATAACGCGCGCGTTGAGTAACGGGATTGATTTTTTTTTTTTTTTATTATTATTATTTTTCGCGGATAACTGAACAGAAAAACACCCGTCGAAACGCCACGTATCGGGCGGCAAAGCGGACGGCGATTCGTTTGCAGCGCGAACCGATAAAGACACGTTGTTGTTGTGGTTTTTTTTTTTTTTCAAGTCCATAATCGTTTCCGTAGGTGCTGTATGCGGGGATGGCCGAGTACACCTAAAATATCGAATTTGGTTATTCGCGTTCGAATTAATTATCTGTGTCGCGAAAACGCATTATTATTACTTATCTGTATTCTATGTATTATGTATAGATAACCATATTATGAATAGGTGGTTTCATCCAGTAGGTGGAACACGTTTCCCGGTTCCGACCGAGTCGTCCGTAAACGAATGAAATTTCATTAAAAAAAAAAAACAGCTAATACTGGGGACGGATGTGGCCACTGTTATAGGTGGGTGGTTGGGATACTTAAAGTTATATACCTGTAATACAATAACGATAAACCATCATCGATAACGAAAACCGATTCGGAACGAAGTTCGGTTATAAATTTTTTGAAAGGCCGTAATACAATTTTCGTTAAAATCTGATTTTAAAACGTGTAATGTAGTTTTGTAAAATGTGTATTTTGTGTTTACAAATATGCATTTTTTTTTTTTTTTTAGTATGAAGTACGACTAATAATAGAACCTGCTGTCGAATGTGTTTTTGTTAAGTCTAACAATTTTATACACAGATATTACCTACCAAATAAAAATTACGTAAACAAATTGATAAAATTAAAAGGTCTATAAATAGTTCAAACATGGCTCCAATGTTTTGAAAATTTTACCACACCAAGAAAAAGCAAATATAAGATATTTGTTTAAAATTTAAAATTTCTACGAATATTTTTAACTGAAAAACATTAAAAGAAAAAAACAAAATTAAAAATAATGAAAGAATTATTTTTGTAAATTTCCCCGTTCTCTCTACGTATTTCTCGGTTTTGATCGTTTATTGATAAAACAAAAGAAAAAAAATCTAAAATAGCTTCATTTTTACTTACCAACTGTAATTTTCGGGTTTTCGCCAATTATTTTAAAAAATCATTGAACAAATTAAAAAAAAAAAAAAACGAACCTCTTTATTGCACCCGCAACTATAGATATAATTTCGTTTCCGAAAAAGATCCTACACCCTCGTATGAGCGAGATTTTTGGTAGAAAAGTTGTAAACGCAGTAAAAAAAAAAAAAAAAAAAAACCGTATATTTCGAAAATTATTACTCGTTATTGCCCGGCGCTTCGATTCGCGTTACACGCCGTTTCGCAAATGGGAAATTCGTTCGAATCCCCGGTATCGTATTACTAATTATAACCGATCACGCAGCGGGTGCGTTTCGCCGTCTCGTCGTTGCGCCGCGTATACGCGCGACGGCCCGTGCAACGTCCGCGCGAAATCGATTCGCCAGACGCGTCGCGTCGGCACGGATCAACCCCCGCGCGCGTCAACGCGATGAACACACGAGGTGTGGCTACTAAACAACGAGACTGCTCGCCCTGGGTGGGCGCCCTAGATGGGCGGTGAAAAAAACGAGTATCGCGTTGGGTATCTAGATATCTTAACTGTGCGCGTACCATAACGCGTTTTCGTCACTATTATAATGTTTGTGCAGTAGTGGTTTGAAACGAACGTGTTTTTTTTCTCGTGCCGAAAACCACGTGTGACGAAAAACACGAGCAACCGATAAACGTAAAATTTTCTCGTTAAACTAAAAAAAAACTCCAACTGAGTGCTATGAGTTGTTGAAAGAGGCCTATAGTGAGGATTTCCTATCTCGGGCGCGTGTTTTCGAGTGGCATAAATTATTTTCTGAAGGTCGAGAGTGCACCGGAATCCAATTCAGTCGTAATCCAAATTCAAAACCGTTTTATTCGATATCGACGGCATCGTGATGACTGAATGGGTTCCAGAGGGTCAAACTGTGAACCAACATTACTGTTTGTCAGTTTTGGCAACATTGCGCGAATGAGTTCGTAGGAAACGGTCGATATTGCGGAAAAACAAGTCGTGGATCTTGCACCAGGATATAGCGCGAAGCGTTATTTGGCCGCTTAAGGCACTCCAGTACTCTCGAACACGCGTCTTACTCGCCCGACTCGGCACCCTGCGACTTTTACTCGTTTCCGAAGATAAAGTCTGCCTTAAAAGGAATCCGGTTTGAGTCGATGGAAGAGGTGAAACAAAAATCGGCGGAACTCCTGAATGGTCTTGCGAAAACAGACTTCCAGCACTGCCTCGAGCAATGGAAGAAACGAATGAAACGGTGTGTGGCGAGGGGAGCGGAGTATATTGAAGGGGAGCGTTTGAATGTAGAATAACTTTTATAATAAAACACTTTTTCGTAATCAGTCTCGTCATTTAATAGCCTCACCTCGTATTATGTTCCGCAGCGACGGCGTCATTACTGGCTGTTGCGCGGCGCGGTAATTCGAAAAAAACGATTAATTGGCCGACCGCGATTTGTACGGCCGCCGTGTAAACAAGTATATAATCTTCTCCAGAGTATATTTGTCGTAGACGAATGGTTATACACATCTATTATCATATTAGGGTTCGTGGGTTCAAACGCTACACTTGCTTTTAAATCCTGAGTGGAATGAAGAAGCTTATGGTTTTAAAAAGATTTTTTTTTTTTATTTTTTTCTGTGGACAACTTTTCTACAAGCAATTTTTCTTCGATTTACAATAATAGCACTTTTATTGAAAGTAAATCTGACTGAGAAGGTACTATAGGGACGTAATTTTTCGATTTTCACAGGAGTTTTCCCAATAAACATCAAGAGAAATCATTTTTAAACCTGGCTCAACATTAATTTTATTAATTTTATCAGTAAATTCATAAGTCTTTTTTATAGAAGTATCATTATTCATGTTTGATTGTTTTTATATAAGAGAATCTAAATATTTATTAGGGTTATAAGATGGAGCAGTTTTAAAGTTAATTAATGGACGAATCGGATGATCTTGTTTATGTAATTCTATGAGTAGATGTTAATGTGGAGTCTATATTTTTTAATCAAATTTTATTAATATTTTCTTTTAGACTTAGTATGATCTCTTTCGAATTTGTTATCAGTTTATTAATTTGTTGAGTAAAAATTATAGTTGGGTCGTAAGTTTCGAATATTATTATTATTTATAGAATCTAAATCTTTTTTTATGAATTTCATTAGTATAAATGTTAACAATTTATAGATTAATAGATTTATCTAATAGAACTATTTCTAAATTATTTGTTTTTAATTTATTCACTATGTTGTTAATAATTGTATTTTTTCGTTTAACTATATTATTTTGTTTTAATATTTTATCAGGCTTATTTTTGTAGTTTTTATTGGTTTTTATTTGTGAACAAATTTTAGAAAAGAACTTTCAAGATGGTGTTCAAGTAACTTTTCTAATAGAAAGACAAATGTTTTCTTGTTAGTGCATTAAATAGGTCATTTTTTGATTTTCCAAAGGATTTTCAAAAAAATTGAGAAAAATCGGAAACAAAGTTATAGTTAGAACGGCAAAACGGCTGCGGCGTTACCGAATTCATAGTCTTTAATTATTGCAAACTACGTTTTATACATGGAATATTGGTTTAATCGAAAACTGCTTAGAGACCTTTTTTTGTTGTATTTCGGATTGAGTTGCACACAAAGTAAGTTTTTTTTTTAATTTCCGAGTAGTTTTCGTAATGATTTGGAAAACTGGGAAAAGACGAAAAGTGAATAACAAACGAATTTACGGCATGATATATTTACAGGTTGCAACCAGAAATATTGCTTCCGTAGTAAAACGACAAGAAACCTTTTTTCGTTAAATTATTAATTCAAATGGCGTGTAAAAAAGCCGTGTTTAGATTTTCCCTTTAGTTTTTTTTTTTTTTTTTTTAATAATTGAGCAATACTGAAAAAAAAAATAAAACGGAAGAAAGATTTCATTTCAAAAAGTCGTTTACCGACAGAAAGAATTCAGGCAACTTCGCACGCGGGTATTGTAAGTGAGAAGGTATAAAGACAATATAGGAGAAATTTAATGTATATCCGTAAGTAACGATAGACCATTGCTAGCGAAAAACGATTCTGAGAGCAGATCAGTTGATAGTGATGCTTTGCCGACAATATATAATATGCCATATTATAGTAAAATATTTAAATAGGCTTTATATATTTTCTTTAATAATATTTGTTTAATATTGTGCCTATTTTCCTGTTTTTCCCACGTATTTCCTATATATTTCCCATTTTTTTTATATTGGTAGAAAAGTTTTATACAGAAAAAAAAAAATAAATAAATAAATATCTTTGTGTAAAACCATAAGCTTCTTCGCTCCAGTCAAAATCTAAAAATCAAATATAGAAATTTTAAAATATATATTAAATTAAAAATCAATCAATATATGTACATACTACAATGTTATTATAAAGATTTTAAATAATCGTTACTGCAGCAGTTGTAGTATTGTTAAAATCGTAGAACACTTGTTCCGGTATAAAACGGTGTATTCCTACGGAAATATATCTGAGTTGGGAAATTCAATATGCACAATCGGAGTACGCGAGTATAGTCGACTACTCGACTCGACTAGAGAAAACTCTACCGGGCCGAATACTCGACCGGATTTACTCTAGTTTTCATCCGGTGTACACAATATGATAACCGACCGCGCGCAGGCTGTTCTTTCATAATGCCCGCCCCGCACCGATGAATTTATTATCACGGCGATTATGACGATCGTTATTAATAATAACCATAATACTCGCAGGTACGTACCGACTGACCCGTACGCTGTTACTAATTTATCGTTCGTCCGGTTTATATTATTACCTGTCTCGAGCGCGGGCCCGAAAGGATTCTGTGTCTGCCCCTCACCTTCCCTTCCGGCCATCAAGCGAAAAAAAAATAACTCGTTATACATAAACATTGTAGTAGTACATAATAATTACGATCGTGATTTAAATGCTGCCTGTGATATTATAATATTCGATCGTATACGACATAGATGGTAACGAAACGAGTGTAGGTATTCTAAACGTTTTAAATAAGGTTAAACCGTCGTCGTTGGCACGCGAACCCGTTGCTCTCGATATCCGTCGAGCGCGTGTGCGGAAACGGAATACTATCGTAATATTGTTACGTTACCGAGTCACCGGAGCGATGTTTGATATTTAGGTTCGGATTGTAGCGAGGGAACTGTTACTGCGGTGTGTGCTTTTGTAATTTTTGATTTCGACTGAAGCGAAGAAGTTTATGGTTTTACACAAAGATATGTATTTATTACAATTATTTTATTTTCTGTGGACAACTTTTCCATCAAATATCCTGCTCCGCTTTTCAAGTGTAGCACTTTTTCTAAAACGAAATCTGACTAGGGTAGTATTTTAAAGGGGTCATTATAATGCCTATTTAATTATTTTACCATAGTATTATGACATATTATGTATTATTGACAAAGCAAGAAATTATGAAACTCAGTCCTGAAGACAGGACAATTAACCAAGATGAGAGTCTAGAAGTTATTTTTCTAGCCCATTTATTCTATAGAGTGCAACAGTTTAAGTACCTAGGAGTCCTGTTGACCCAGAAGAATGAGCTAAAAACAGAGGTATCAAGACGAATCTAAATGGCTAATAATTTTTATTTTGGTATTGGACCTCTTATAAGATCCACAGCTATTTCAAAAAACATGAAGATTGAAATTTGTGTAACACTAATATGGCCTATGATTTTATCTAAAACTTGGGCTTTAAGGAAGACGGACGAACTGATACTGGAAGTTTTCGAAAGATAAGTTCTAAGGCGAAATAATGAAGAACTTCAAAATCTATTCCAACGATCATGTATTACGAGGGAAATCAAGACGAGAAAATTAAGGTGTGCCAGCCATACTTGGCGAAAAAATGGCACATTAATTAAAACTGTAATCATAGAACATCAGATGAGGAAAAGGCCGCTGGGGTGGCCACATCTATGATGGTGGATTGTGTTGAAAGGGATGTAGTGACAAAGGACCCAGAGGTAAATTGGAAGGAATTGATTGACGATAGAGAGAGCTGGAAGAGAATTTTCAGTCTTAAAAGGCCAAAATCCAAGAAAAAACAGAATTGTAGACAAAACATCACTAACAACTGAACTTTGCTCAGAATCGTTTTTTTATTAGCAATGATTTATCGTTGCTTACAGGTATACATTAAATTTCCTTACGTATCCTACTTTCCCAAATCTCCACCTAAACAGTGGCTGCACCCGTCTCCATTATCCTTTTATTATTTGTTTCTTTTTGTATAGAATTAATATACATATTTTATATTTTGTTATATGCAACTAATCCATTGTTATCGAGTTGATAATTTCTATTTTATAAAAAAACAAATTAATATTGCATTACTTAAGTTTTATGATCACAAAATGTATGATTAATTTAGAGTTTGATACTCGACTTTACACGAGCACTTGACTTTTGAACTCGACTTAACTCGAAAAGACTAAAATCTGACTCATCTCGACTCGATTATAAAAAAAAAAAAAAACACCTTAAACTCTAGTAAAATTTTATAGGTTCCTAAGTTTCGTTTAAATTCTAATTAAAAAATATATTACTTTCGTCGTTTAATATTATTATAATGTAATTGACTCTTAACAATAATATATTATGGCCATTGAATAAAAGGGGTCTCGATTTTAGATTCTGAGTGGAGCGAAGAAGCTTATAGTTTTACAAAAATACTTATTATTATTTTTGCATTTATTATACCAGAACACGTACTCGGATTTTTACTTGTAGCGTCTTTCCTAAAAGGAAATTTCACAAGAGAGAGTATCTACTTTAAAAATATTATTTTTCGATTTTCTTAAGAGTTTTCCAGTAAATGTCAAAAACTGCGATAAAACATGGGAAAACCATGAAAAACGTAGGGAAATTGGGAAAATCGGTACAACATTAAAGAAATAGTATTAAAAAAAATATATAAGGCCTACTTAATTATTTACTATAAAATGACATATGTATTGTTGACAGAGCATCACTATCAACTGAAATGCGTTCATAATTTATTTTCGTTAGTAATGGCTTAACGTTGCTTACTGATATACATTAAATTATCCATAACAGTAGCTGTACTCGTTTCTATTATCCTAGGATGACTTTTTTTTTATCTTTTCAAATTTTCATATCTGATTATGCGAAAAATCAAAATTATTTAAAAATGCTTATATCTCGCTTTAAAGTTTAATTATCAAAACAAAACCCAAAACAGATAATATTATGACCTTTAAATTTGATAATATAGGTAATAAATTAAAGGCTGATATTAAAAGTAACAGACTAACAGCACAGAATTGGTACAGCCGCACTCAAATTTCCTAAGTCACGCTAAGATAGGTATTGGGTAATTCAAGATGGTTTTGATTCTGATTTATGTAATTTTACTATTTCATCGGTTAGTTTAACTGAGTCTATAAAATCACGTCCTCTTATTACTTAGACTTATTACGGTTATAACAGATTGAATAACCGAGTGGCGAAAATTATTATCAAAACGGATGCCATTCGGCCCAGAAACGATAACAGTAACAATAATATAAATATAATTATAAGTAAAAATAAAAAAAACAATTTTTCGAACGAAACTCTTGATGATTGCCAAGCTCGCAGGCACGTGCCGTGCAAATTCGAGGTGCGTTTATTTACTATGTTCGGACACCTTTTTGGCACGTTTTGCGGGCCAAACGTTCGCGGTTCTAATAATACGATTCGCAGTGTAGTCGTTTAAAAATAATAATAATATCTTGAGTTACGTAATATTGGCCGTTTAAGTATAAAATTGTAAACTGGTACTGCAGTCGAGGATTGGAAGGCAGCTGATTTAGAAAAAAAAAAAAAAGACGATAATGTCTATCCCAACGGTATTTACGGGCGTTATCGTCGGACTGCTCCTCGAAAACCGCAAAAATTCGTTTTATCTGTGCGGACGTGCTCTAGCCCTACGAAAAAATAAAACGTAATAAAAACTGTACGCACGTCGGTCATCATTAAGAATGGAATGTTCTGAAAAGAAAACCGCTAAAATGATAATACAAAGTGTCAACAAATCCGTAGGAAATTGGGTTTAAACTGTAATATTACTAGTGATGTAAATTTTTATGAAAATTTCATAATAATTTATCAAATAAATTCCTTGATATTACATAGTTCTACATAGGATATTTATCCTTCATAATTATATTTAGACTATGTCCTTGTATTTACATTCACCTCATTTAAATATAATGTTGGTATTATTCGATTGAATATAGTATAGAAAACATAAAATACAAATTAATTAATTTCGGTAATAAATGTACATTTTTGTTTATAATTAATGAATTTTGTATTTTTACTTCAGTATAAATATTGAATCGTTCAGTGTGTAAACATTTTCCATTTTAGATTCTGAATGGAGCGAAAAAAATTATGGTTTTACAAAGATGTTTATTATTATTATTTTTTTTTTTTTATGGACAACATTTCTACCACATATGTTGTTCCAATTTGTAAGTATAGCACCTTTTCTGAAAGGAAAACAATGTGGAAACATACTTTAAACGGGTAATTTTTCGATTTTATCAAGAGTTTTCTCATCAAATGTGAAAAACCAAAAAAAAAAAAAAGAATCTCATTTAAGAAATGTGCTTATTAGTTAAAATATATTAAGATTTTTTTTCTGTGCAAAACTTTTCTACCGGCAACAACTGTGTTCCTATTTATAATGATAGTAACTTTTCTAAAAAAAAAATCGGACTGGGGAGGTAAATAAGGGATGTCGTTTTTCGACTTTCAAAGAGTGAAAAACCAAAAATGTGAAAAACCGGGAAAATGATGGGATAGCTGCGAACAACGTAGGAAAACCGAGAAAATCTGTACATTAAACAAATATTTTTAGAGAAAACATATAATACCGTTATTACCATAATACGACATATACATTGGTGACGAAGTATCGCTTTCACTAACTCCGCTCAGAATCGTTTTTCGTTAGCAATGGCTTATCGTTGATTACAGCTATACATTAAATTATCTATAACAGTGGTTTCACCCGTCCCCATTATCCTAGGACAGCTATTTTTAATATGACCAAGGAACAGGAATGAGTTCTTTATTCGTAATAGATATGAAGTACGGGAACATATTCTTTTTTAAAATGAACGCAGCCGATTGTGGCATGGTAATTCAGTATTCTAATTTTATAAGTTCAAAAAATGTAATAAATAAATACACCGGTGAACAATTTGACGGAAGAATTAATATCCAAATGCAACGGGTTTTTTATTTTTTTATTTTTGTTTGCATCGCGTAAAATAATCTAATATTACAATATTTCATTACCATGATGTCTTACGTGAACACGATTCGCGTAATATTAATAATGCAATTTTATAATAATATTATAAATGTATAGTGTAATAAAGCGAGCTGTGTTTCAAAAAACGTACTTACCTAATGTAATTTAATTATAGTGTAATATTATATCCATCAAAGTCAACCGTCCCGACTGATCGAATTTTCGTTTCCGGCAAAGCTTTTGACAACATCACGTCGTTGTCGTATTTATTATAATTGTTTACTGTTACTACAACAGCAGACAAGGGGGCTAAATGTCAAAACGTCTCTCAGACTCCATTAAGGACATCATTATCGTTTTCTAAAGGCGGGGTCTTTTCAACGTAACCAAGTTTGTCCATTGAAAGTTGCGCTCTTCATTTGAGGATAAGAAGTTTACATTATAAGCTAGAGAAAAATAAAAATGAAAAGGAATCAAATAAACCGATACTGTTATTTAGCAGACTATTCTATCTATGTAAGGTGCGCCACTATTGTAGTCAGGAATTTGCAAAGGTTGCAAAGATAGGATATGCGTATAAGGCAATTTCATTTATATCTGTGCGTGTCGGTAAATCATTGCTAATAAAATACGATCCCGAGCGAATTAGATTTAATATATTTTGAAACGCTTTAGAAAAATTGTTCATAGATAGAAAAAAAAATTCTTCTATTAATAGATTGATAAATAAATATGAAAATCACTGGCCGGTCATAAAACGTTCGTACAAGAAATAAATATTTAGCCATACAATTTCTGGCTAAACGCAATAAAAAATTATTATAAAATTTCCACGCCAACCATAAAGTTTTACGAACTATGTAACAATATTACCTAAACTATTTCGGAAAACATCACGTTGTCAAAACGATGCACAGACATTCTCAACGTCTTACTATTTTCGACCATAAAGCTGAGAACTGGTATACTTTATGGTGACGGGTATGTAGATGTCTGAGCCCACGTCCGAGAAAACGAATATACACGCCTCACAAACGACATTCGGAAAATATTGAAACTTATAACTCAAACTATATGGATTCCGAAATGATCAAGTATGTGTTATATTTGTGTACAGTTCATAGTTGATTTTCGGGTAAATCTTTTGGTAATACTTTATACAGAAGCTTATATGTATACTTTTTCGTACTGCACGCTTTATATCGAACCATACTACAACATAGGTATCATCACCCCACTCTTCCTGCAATGCAATAATTTTAGTTTTTGATAGAAAGGGCGGAAGGAAAAATGTATGATCAGTACATCAACGAAAACATAACCGCTCGTAAATTAATCTCAATTAGAATTTCTCTATATTTATTATCATAAAAGGGAAAATAGCGCATTTTTTTTTTTTAAAGTCTGGAATCTAAATTAGTATATTATGTTTGTTTTTTTTTTTTTATAAATTAACTCAAACCAGTTTTAAATAACTAATTATTAGTTATGCAATTTACTCATCATAAATATAATAAATATTTATTTCACATAATATGATCAGTTTTGACCCGGTTTGATCTATTGTACGTTTTACCTTTTTGGGAACACGATTCCGTTCGATTTTGATCAAACAATGGGCTGTCAAAATTACTTAAAAACTACACGATTACGTACGATATTCCGGATAATGTTGCCAAAATGTTATTTATTGTTACCGATTCGTTTATTTTCCTCAAATTATAACGTTATAAAAAAAGTTGATGAACTTGAAAAGGTCAAAGTTAAATTTAAAAAAAAAAGAAAAGATATTTATGGATTATATTAGGTAAT